AACCTACGTTGCGAGAGATTTAGGTACATTGAAAAAATATGCAGAATCGAACCAGCGTTGTGAGATATCCAAGTACTAAACAGTATTATGAAATCCCACAATCCAGGATCTAATCCGCCTTGCTAGATATCCACGATATAATCTACATTGTGAGATATCCAGGATATAATCTGTGCTATGATATTCGCAGGAGCGAACCGCCATTTTCAGATATCCAGAAACTAAACCTCATTGTGATATATCCAGGAACGAATTGTGAGATACTCAGGGTCTATTGTTCATTTTGAGAGTTCCAGATACTATATCTTTTTACAGCGTTACACCCCAAGAAAGGCGTGTGTGCTACCAGCACGCAAGGGGTTTCAGAGAGTGAGAGCAAGAGTAAAGAAGGGTGCTTGAGGAAAGAATATAGAGAAGGATGGGGATCAGGATCAAGACATCAGAAGATGTCGATTCACATTATATTTGAAGATTAGAGCCAGCAGGGAAGCAAGTAAGAGGAAGGGAGTTCCACTGCCGGGAAGTGCAAGAAAAGAAGCTGTTGGAGTAGAGGTGGCGGCTACATTCAACCGTTTCGACAGTGAAAGCGTGGGACCGAGATACCAACCTAGTAGCACGCTTAAATTCATGAAGTTGGGGTACCAATGAAAGTACCTCGTCAGAGCAGTTGATATATCCAGAATATAATTTACCTTGAGAAATATCCACTATAAATCTACTTTTAAAGTGAGCCGGCATTATATGATATCCAGAAACTAAACTGCATTGTGAAGTACTCAATATCTAAAATGCGTAGTGAGATATCCAGATACTAAATTCTATTGTGAAATACTCGGAATTTTTTTTAATCATTTCACCCCAAGCAAGGCGGGAAGCCACTAGCACGCAAGGGGTTACAGAGGATTTGGAGCGAGAGCAGATAGGAGTGATATAGGAAAGAATGAGGAGAAGTATAGTAGATAGATAAAGCAACTGGAGATGTCGATTGACATTACATTTGAATAGTTGGAGATTATAGCTATCAGGGAAACAGGAAAAGGGAGGGGAAACCGGCATTGGGCGACATCCCAAATCTGCATTGTCATGAGATATCCAAAATCTACACTGCATTGTGGGATTACAGGAAGTAATTGTGAGATATTCAGGGTCTAAAATGCCTTGTGAGATATCCAGCCTCTACCCTGCGTTGTGAGAGAGTCCGATACTAAAGTTTATCCTGAGATACTCAGTTTTTAAACTGCATTGTGAGAATTCCAGAATAAACAATGATAAATATCCAAGATATAAACTGCATTGGGAGATATCAGATATCTATCATTTATCGCGAGATATCCCGAATCTGAAGAGCATTATAAGATATTCAGCATATAATCCACATCGAGAAATGCCAAAGATATAACCTGCATTTTGAGATATCTAGAAATTAATCTGTCAGGAAATCTAATGTGCATTGTTTGGTCTGGTTTATTTTGTTTAAAGGCATATCAACCTCAATGGGTTATTTAATGTCGACAACATTTTTAGGATAGATTCGTATGAATAGAATATATATTCTTTGGTATAGATTGGTTTGGTTTATTTTGTTTTACGGCATATCAAACTCAATGGGTTATTTAATGCCGACAACATTTTTAGGATAGATT